GATCCATTAATACATTGTTCATTAATGAATTTAGTCCTGCATCTAAAGGATTCTGTCTAATAGCTCACTTATCCTTCTTTTCTCTCTCTCCCACTCCTTCCAGGCCCTCTCCTTTCATACAAATCACTTTTGAATGTTCATCATTTTGTTTTGATCTATGTGCATTGGTGTGAGCATGGGCTTGGAATAAATTGGAACCTGATGGGTCACCAGTGGATTCTATGCTTCCTATTGACCCAGAGTCAGTTATTTGTTAGTAGTTCAGTAATCAATGGAAAACCTCCATATAAGTCCCTCTCCCATCCATAATTGCAACCAGGCTAGGGAAATCTCGTGTAGGCCCAGCGACAGTCTGTGCAAGTGCTATGAGTTCAACATTGTTCTGACCATGTTATATTTAGAAGATCCAATTTTATAACCATTTTATCTATCTTTTGGATTTTATATTTGTCTCTCCATTTTCACAGTGATCTCCAATACTCACGTGACTTTTGTACATGTTTTCTTTAGGGATGAGACTAGAATTGTGACTTATTCTCAACTTTTTATGTAGATACGGTCTCTTCATTCACCTCAAATCACTGCAAAGAATATATTTCTTATTGAGTATAAGAAATATATATTAATAAGATATCCTGACACTATAGCAATTGAACTAAACAACAGTAATTGGGTCCTCTGCTTCCCAAGGCCTAATATACTCCAGGGGTTTTAGTTGCTTTCCAGTATCAAGTATGAATTTTTTTCTGCGATGATCCTCAAATTAATTTGTGAATATTTCTATATACCTATTACATTACTCCCATTAGCCTATCAATTTTTAAATTTTTCTTATTGGATTTATACATATATTTAGGTAATAATAGAATATATTATATGAAAAAGAGAGGACAACATTCAGAATGTAATATGGTGGATGGGGCAGAGAGATGATTGATAGAGCTGGATAGAGCAGGTGTGTGTGTGTGTGTGTGTGTGTAAGATTAACCAAACTAAGGATCTAGGAAAAAGCCATATGTAATCTGTCTATTTTATAAACAAATTAAAAATATTATTTAAGAAATATTTAGGGTAATACCCTGTACAGATGAATAGTGCTAGTCACAAAGTCATAGGTTATTAAACAAATATCTCAGAACAGATGAAAGAAAGTATATTGTGAATTATTGGGTTAGAGAGTCCTTGAGATGCCAAAAAGCTAGAAGCTACTTTCATTGTTTTTGTGTTACATTAAAACAAATTATATGACTTTTTTTTTTTGAGGCATAGTATACTTCATCACAGGCCATAGAGAAAGCAAGCTACAATGGAGCTATAAGCATTTTTAATGATACCTAGATTTTATGTCCTAAGTTTCTTGGTGAACATCTAATAGAGAAATGCCATCCAGAGTCTTAAATATCTGGGACCAAATTGGTAAGGGATTCATATGTTTTACTACCTACCATTGGTTAGTAAGAAGCTCTTTGGCCTATGGCAGGGCAGAATAGAGCTAGGGTGAAAATCTAAACTGAATACAAGGAAAAAGAAGGCAGAGTCAGGCAGACATCATTTAGCTGCTGAAGGAGAATTTCATAAATCATAATTGTATACATACATTTTACCACAAATGAAAAGAAATTGAAGAACATTTGGAGAACTTGCTGACACTATAGCTGTCTACCTTGACTTTTACTATGAAAAAAGTGAAAATGTCCAAAAAGATTAGGAGGCAATAGGAAAATGGAAAAAAATTATTTAATTTATTTTAGAAAACACAACATTCATGTAAAATAAATATTTGGGAAAGAAGCACAAATTTGAAATGGACAATTCTGGGAACTTCAGATATGCTTCTTGCTAGCAACTCTACTAAAAGCACACAAAGTTCATCACAAGAGTTTACAACAAATTCACTTTTGTTATATAGAACAAGACTCATTCCTATTCTAAGAATTTGTTATGAAATATTTGTTGACTGAATACATACTTGACTCTGGCTCTAAGATTCACAGAGCACCTGTTTCTATTTTTTAGATGTCTCTAAACAACCAGGTGAAGAGTTCTCCTACCATAATTTGGTATTTAATTCATTTTTACTAAATTAAAGGTGCCAAAGAAAAGCCTGAATTTATTTTAATCTCATTCACAATTCAGTAAAGAGCCTAAGCTAAGTTCCAGACACATTAATAACCTATATTAATTGCTATTAGAAAAATCCCTTTCATTGAAAAATGATGTTAAATATTAACATTAATGTTCTTTCTTTGAAATTCAATATTAAATAATTTGATTAATATAAAATTTGTTAAGGTTACAATGAAACAGTCAAAGGTTTAATTGATATTGCTAAAATTCTTTTATCTATCATGTGGAGAGGATTTTCTCCCTGTATTGGAGTTAATGGAAGAAATTTGTCTTCCTCTGACAGTAATTTGGAAAAATATTGAGAAGTCTTTCTTAGTAAAAAAACAACTGAAAAGGCAGGTCATTGTCCACTCATCAAAGTATATAGAATATAGAAATCGAATTAAAGTCAATTTCCAAATGCACATTTTTGTGATATTTGACATTCAGGCATTTCAGAATACTTTTGAGGTAGGTTCACTGAAGCTAGAGTTCACTGGCAATTAGAGTTTCTGGCCAGTGAGCTCCAGGGAAACTTCTGTTCTGTTTTCATCCAATACTAGGATTGTTGAAGCTCCCATGATTCCTTTTTTTTTCTATTAGTGCCGTTGTTGTGGGTTCTAATTTAGGGACTTGTGCTTATGTGGGAAGGACTTTCTCAACTGAGTTAATTCCCCAGCTCCACACACAAATTATTGAAACTTTCAACTATATTATCCTAAGAACCAGAAATATTTATCCAACTCAAAGTCTGGTAGCTGTCTGGACTCAGCTTGGAAGATCCCATTGGGAATGGTGTGATCAATTTCTTTACCTTTTTGCAAGATCAGACACTTCCATTTGTAGTCAAAGTACAGATGGCTTCCAACATGAGGGGAGATCAGGTTGTTGTTTTTTGCACTACTAGAGAAATGACGCCTCGCAAACATGTTTAAATATATCAGCTGAAAGAAGGATGAACACTTAAGCTTTCATAAATTTTAATTTGTACTTCCAGGAATTAACATTCTAAATTTGTACCAGACCTCGAATAATGGAAACAGCCATAGACACATGTAACAGTAAAATGTCCAAAAACGTGACTTACCAAATGAAATGTTTACATAGCTCATTATCTGGGAGATTCTAAACTAAGATCATATGAAATTTTAGCTTTAAGACAGATGATGGTAGCAAGATTCCAACGTTTTGACATGTATAGATGGTAACTCAAACATTCTCTTGAACAATAAACAAAAGAGAATGAGGAAACAGACACAGTCCCCCAAACACTTCCCTATTAGTTTAAGCATTGCTTTCTGTCTCCTAAATTCCCCACTATCTTAAGGTTGATGATAGATTGAAGACAGTTGTGACATAGAGGCCCAGAATTAGTCACACATAATACAGCTGCTTTACAAAAAGTTTCCTTCTTGTTGTTGCTACCTTATCATTATAATGCCTTGTTATATGTTTAGTGAAGCTATTTATACTAAATCATTTAAGGTCAATTTTGTTTGGATATTAGAATACGTACCCTGAACTTTCTCAGTGGCATGACAAATTATAAAACAGTTTTATTTTATACCAATTTATTTTAGGATAGAAGAACCTTTTATCTCTACTTCTGATTTAAAAAAAATCAGATGTATATAATCTCATCTCTGTAGAATACCTACATGCATCAACCATTTCCTAATGTGCTTTTCTTCTTAAGAAATAGGTTATTTACCAATCCTTATAATAAATCTGATTTGTAAAAGGAAAGGGCAGAGAAGAAAGTAAGAGTTAATCAGTAAATATCAACTTTTCAAATCAAAATGAATGCTAACAACTTGTCTCCATTTCTGTTAAAAATAAAGCATAGTTTGCCTGCAGGCTGTCTCAGATCTTCAATAACCTGTTTACAGTGTACAAGCACTTGACATACATGAACACAAAAATCGTATCTGATTCTTATTCCCACATCAGTGAAACCATTACTCAACAAAACCCGCTTTCTGCTAATGACTTTCACAGCATCATTAAAACAAATCCATATTGAATTTTAATGAGGGCATTATCTTGACATTCTTCTGCAAAAAAATATACTTGCTATATTTGAATTTTTGGTTCATTATCTACAATAATCCACATGTTTCTTGTTCTTTAGACAAGAATCATAAGCATACAGAGATAAAACCAACTTTTATAAATAAAAATCTTGCTTTAAAAAGACAGGCCTTGGAAATTGGGAATAAAATACATGTTTGGAATGAAGGAAAACTTTTATTTGTTTGTTTTGTTTTTGTTTCCATTAATTGTAATCATCACATAAATTTCAAAGTTAGTAGTAAGAACTGTGAAAGATAGAGGATTATGTTTCCAATTAGAGGTGTCTGAACCTGCGGTGATGAGTTGTCTTTGATGATGAGATCATTATTCAAATTTGTTGGAAGTTTGTTTTATTTTGTAAAGATATTCTTTTAGGATTCTGATGGAAAGGTTCACTTCAGTAATTCACTGTACATTTAATGCTGTGATTCCTTGAATTCTCTTTTTGGTAACTTTTCTTTATAATTAAAATGAGCTGGCTTGAATTCAATGCTTCTTTAAACCACTCTGTACCTGATGTTCATTGCAATGCTCCTTCCTATAGCCAACAAAGGATGCTATCCACTGACAAAAGAACTGAATAAAAAAGGATTAAATAAATGTGATTGCACACTGTCCACTCATAAATTAGTCTGAGATGAGAATTTTGTAGCAAAGTGAATGGAGTTGTAGGGAATAATGCAAAGTTAAAAATAGTCAGATACAGGAAAACAAATATTTCTTTTTGATCGGTGAAAGCTAAAAATGTTACTGACATAGAGAGTGGAGAGTGGTTTCAAGAGGCTGAGAACTGTAAACATGTGAAGGAAATGCATGGGTAGATGATTGTTCATGGGTACAGGGATGCAATAAGATTTGGGAAACATCTAATGATCTGTGGCACCGTGGGTTATAGCTACAGGTGACAAAAGCAGATTGTATGGATAAAAATAACCAAAGGGAAAATGAAAGTTTCCAAAATAAAGAGTGGTACTTGAAGTGATATGAAAATGTTGTCTCCTTGGAAGTTAAAAAAAAAAAAGCAGTGGGTGTGAATGTAAATTACTATTCTATTTTATGAATGAGTTAGAAAATTAATCAGTGTCTGAACTTTAAAAAAGATACAAACATATTTTTGTGTGCATGCAGGGTGGGGAAGTATCCATTACTAAGTAAAAGATCTTTATTTTTCATCAAGTAAAAATTTGCCATTGTTTCGTATTGTATCCTATATGTGTGTATATGAATGTGTACTGTTTTGTGTGTGCCAGTGTGTGTGTGTGCATGCACTTTTCTTTTCTTTCCTTCTTTATTTCACTCTTACTTGCATCTTGGTTCTAAGTTCTTTTACTGAGAGAGCTACCACCGGAAACACACTCTGTCCCTTCCCATTGCTGTCACTATTTCCTCACTGGCATTCACTTCTGATTCTTAGACATTCTATCCTCCCCTTTGCATAAACCAACAATTCATGTGCAGATGGTATGTTTTCTTGTTAGATTTCCTCAGATAGTCTTTGCAATTTCATTAAATTCCTTGCCTGGTTACCTCCAAATTTGTGTCCAACATATGATTTTGGTTTTCATGAATGTCCTGTCTCTAAAGACTGTGACTTTATATTATCCTTTGACAAGTCTTGGAAACTTAAAATGTGCCTGATCACAGGAAGTTACAGCTTTTAAGTGTCATAATTCTTCATGACAGAAGTAGGTTTGTTCAATATTTATACAGAAGCAGAGAACTGGGCTTTCAATTCTGCAGGTTCTCTCTCTTAAATACCTTGTTGTCTTAGTATCTTCACGTTTCATCACCTGAGAGAGTTTTTGCTTGCATTGACTCTTCTGTTTTTCACATTGTTTTCATATGTTAGTTTCAGAGATAGTTGAAAAGAAGGAGCTAGATTTGATAACCTACATTACAATATCAGTTGTTCAGGAGGTCTTTGATATACCATGTGTTTATACATTGGTAGAAATTCAAACTTCTTTTCCTCGGGTAAATTAAGGTTATATTTTGTTATAAGAGAAAGGACATTGTTAACTTTGATAAAGTCCCTCAAGGGTCATTTTTTTTATTTTGAAGACAACCTTTATTGTCTTTCATATGAATAATATTATTTTTGTTTTACTTGGGGGCTAACTTCGACCTGCCATGTGGATGTGGATGTCTTGCTTATCACTTATGACTTAGAGTACAATGTGAACAAACTTCAAAGTACAGACATCTCCCTCAAGTCCTTGGAGAAGTATTCTCTGACTTTATTTCGTTCTGGATGCCAGAAATTAATGTAATGCTATATAACCATGCCACCTAGTTTAAGATTTAAGAGCTTTGTGTTCCAGGGGTGTATATGTTGGTTGTGACTCAGAATTGATTTGACTCTCTGGTTTCCCAGATGACTCTTTAACTTACAGCCTGAGTGGTCTCTGATGAGATTTTAAAACCTCATTGATTTTTTTTAGGTTGTTCAAGTTTTCTATACTTAAGGATGGCAGTAAACCATTCAAAGATTTGTAACTTGACCTAAATAACACTGAAACTAGCCAGCTTTATATTTGCAATAATGTAAGTTAACTGACAGAAAATTAATTATATAAAATTACTGCAAATTTATGTAGACCATTTTTGCAATTTGATTCATATTTCTATGATTGTAAAGAAAATGATACTGAAGTTCCAGGGATGAACTTCAGAAAAACAAAGAAATATGTAAAAATTGGTTTTTAGTATTTTTTCAAAATGTATGTTGATAATTTTTGATATTTTATGTAATGTGGGATCAAAACCACTTATCTTTATTCACTTGTCAATACAGTTACAAAACAGAGTAAATATCAAACACATTTTATTATTTATTATTTTGGTTGGTGTTAATCATCAACCGACAAAAATCTAAAGTCAAAAGAGAGATGAGAATCTGAGTTGATCTTTGGAGAAATGTCTTGATTGAAATTCCATTGAGGTGGAATGACCTGTCTGTCTACCTTGGTGAAACCATTCGGTGGGTCGAAGATCCTGGACTGTATAAAATAGAGGAAGTGAGCTGAATACTAGCCGCATCTGTTCCTTGAACTCTGCTTCATTTCTGTGGGAGGAATTGATCACCTGCCTCAGGTATGCCAGAGACCTATTTCCTGGGGATTCACAACCCAAAGTACACTGCTACTGTGAGCACACCATTAAAATAAACCATAACCGGGACCTCTGAGTTAAAATGAACCCTTTGTTCCTGAAGTTGTTTTTTGCCAGAGCATTTCCCTGTTGCACTTCGGTTTTCCCTCGGTGTGACATTTTGTTGCTATGACCTGGTTCTTCCACTTCAGAAAATAGACATGTGTCCTCTGTTCCACATAGTTTATAACTTGTTTTCTATTTTATAGATGCTCATAGTTAAGAAACCTTGACCTTTTAAAGTGTTGGAGTTGTTAAATATTATGGAGACTTTCATAGTCGAATTGAGTATGTGTTACATTCATAACACATTCACAAGCCTACGGAGAAAAGAAGTGGGAATTTATGGCTTCATAATAAAGTATTTGAATGTCAATGTGATCAGCATTGTGAATCTTAATTTTCAACTTGAAAAAAAAATCAAGAGTCGCCTTCATGACGAGACACTGATTATACCTGTAGAGGATAATCTTGACTAAAGCTCAGTTAATGTAGGCTGAGCTGGGTATTGTGAATGGGATAATTCCATAGGCAGGGTGATGCTGGACTACTTAAGATAGAGGAAGTGAGCTGAACACCAGTATGTATTCATTTACTGTGATGTACTACTTTGCTTCGGACTCAAACTGATCGGCTGCTACAAGCCTCTGCCACTGTGAATTCCCTATCATGAGGGACAGCAGCCAAGAACTGTGAGCCAAAGTAAACCCTTTCTTCCTTGAAATTGTCAGGTATTTGTCACAGCAATAAGAAATGAAACTAAGACCTGTTCTATACCACTTGACAAAAGAGAATGGATTTGATATGTATTATAATTTATAAATATATTTGAAATAATATTAATGCTTTGGCTAAATCACAATACCCAAATTAAATGAATCTAGTGCAGTGATAATTAACCTGGATTCTGATCCCTTTATGGTGGAATGATCTTTTCATAGGGACCACCTAAGATTATCTTCATTTTAGATATTGATATTATGATTCATAATAGTAGTAAAATACAGTTATAAGACAATAATGAAAATAATTTTATGGTTGTAGTCACCACAACATGGCAAACTATATTAAATGGTTGCAACATTAGGGAAGTTGAGAAACACTTGTAGCAAGCTTTTTTGTTGGCCACCTGATCACAAGTAATGTACTGAAAATTGTTATTAATTATGAAAGCTTGGCCTTTGTCTTTGTCTTTGTCTCAACTATCCCTTATACTTCAAATTAACCACTTTATGTGAATCTACATTCTGTCATATTGTGTTGCCTCTCTTATTGAACCTCTCAAATAACCGACAGGGAGACTTACTTTTACTTAGGCTGAGCCAAAAGTTCAGACTTAATGCTAACTAGATCTTACATTTTTGTTTATTTATTTATTTATTTATTTATTTATTTGGATTTTCGAGACAGGGTTTCTCCGTAGCTTTTGGTTCCTGTCCTGGTCTAGCTCTTGTAGACCAGACTGGCCTCGAACTCACAGGGATCCGCCTGCCTCTGCCTCCCGAGTGCTGGGATTAAAGGCGTGCGCCACCACCGCCCGGCTCTAGGTCTTACATTTTAAATTAACCTATTTTCCTTATTTAAACTCTGTCCCATGGCAGTATCTTCATAAGCATGTCATATTCAACTCCTGCTTCCTCTGTATCTGGCTGGCAACTCCGCTCACTCATCTCTAGTTTGTCCCAGTGTCCTTAGTTTGGTTGCCCTGCCTATACTTCCTGCCTGGCTACCAGACAATCAGCTTCCTATACAACCAATATAAGGTACAACAAGACAAAGCAAAAGTGTTCATGGATGTACTGTTTGAGAGTAGAATCTATTTTTATAACATCAATAAAAAGAAACAGAGAACTCTATTATATATCAAAAAATGGAAATTTTTTATATTACTTAATATTTATGTATATATGAATTTTTCTATACATGAAATACTGAAATTATTGAGAAATTGTAATAAGCTAAGTACATATAAATACAATGTTTGTTTTTTTCTAGCTAAGTATAATATTAATATTAATAAAATATTTAAATGCAAAAATGTTAACAATGAAGCTGTAAAAGTATTCAATATATTAATTCATCTTGTTAACCTAGGCACTAGTGATTATATAAATTTATACATGTATTATCCAACAGCAATAAGTGGCATAACTTTCATCTAAACAGCAGTCTATGTTCAGATTGAATTTCCTATCCTATATGCATTACCTCTTTATCTCTTGCAATTCTTCTTTTTTAATGTAGTGAACTAATTTTACCTAAGTGAATCAGATTTATTGTATTGTAAAACTAGAAGCCTAAATATATTATGTAAATGTAAGTATTTAAATATTGCAAAAGCTAGGGCATATAAAAATGATTTTTAAATTCTATTTTTTATAAAAAGTTGTACATAGAAATGTACAACTGTATGGATGAATGTAAGCCTTTTTTGTTGTTAAACAGAAAAAAGATTAACTATTGAGCACATTTAATTGCTTCTAAATTAAGAAATATTTTAGAATGCATTATAACATAGACAATTTTACTTACTTGTCATTTGAATTAATTGTGGTAGCTTAATGTTAATTATTTCTATAATGGTAATTAAATATGTCTCACTTCCTGCCTATGCATTGTTCTCAGATAGGAGTTGTCTTGAAAACATCCCTCTGAAATACTGATTTGCATATATCCCACAGTGGGAAATATTCAAATGCATATTGGCTTTAATAAAGACATAATTTTAAGTGGAGATTTTATTCACTTTTTATTTTTAAAGTGTCATGAATGGCAAAATGTAAATTTTCTCTATTAATAAAATATATGAAAAATTAAAGAAAAACTGAAAAAGCATTGCAAATGTAAACAAAGAATATTAAATTCTATATGACGAGATACCTATTCAGATTTTGCAAATACTTCTAAACTTATTGAATATGCTATGTCATTTTTTTAAAATTTGTACAGGTTTAAAATGCTGGATTTTTGTAAAAAATATTTTTATAACATTTACATTTGTATAAGTTTATTCATTTGATGAAAATTATAAATTTCATTGTAGTAGAAAAACTAAAAATATATAAATTATGTAGGTGCACTGTGACAATATTGGATGAGGCCAGGATATTTCATTTTAAATACGGTGCTAAGTATATTTGTCAGGGGGAAGGAAAGGGCATCACCATTGGAAGGAAAAATGCTCAGCTGGTCTTGTTCACCAAGTCCATGGACCTCTATGTATAAAACCTGATTTCTAAGGTGATAAAATAAACACAAGGAACTTTAATAATTTATTTTCAGTTTCATTTAAATGAACTAAATTTGCAAACATATATGCTGAAAATAACTGAAGAATGGTGTTTTCAGAAAGGAAAATGCCCAGTGCTTACTGTTGGAGATTATATTCCCAGCTCTGATCTACTCAAAGTGATTTACTATTGCGAGTTCAAACACACAGTATTCGCCCCAAAGGGGAGAAATGTTAGTGCATTCTCTAGCCACATGGTAACACTGGACTGTATAAATTTTCTTTGTACTGGGGGCAAAGCTGCATTTCTGTAATCTGCCTTCATGTTTATAACAACAAGGAGATAAGCATTCCTCCTCTTGTGAAGTTATCTGACAGTTTTTAAGCCATGGGCTATGAAGCATTAACATACACACCCTTCGTGACCAGTCTGTCCTCACTTTAACTACTCAGATCTACTTACAGATATCCGGTCAGTTAATTGACGTTTTAAGTGGGGAATATTAACTAAAATTACCTTAGCTAGAGCAGACAAGTCCCCTGCCTGCCCTTGTGTTTATTTCTTGGGCCGCTTCACAGTCTTTGCTTCTCAAACCTTCCTAGAGCTCTGATTAAAAATAGCACTTCATGCTGTTACAGAGAAAGAGTACATGAACAAAGAAATCACTCACCGCTGGTAGTGTGAGGGGGTCTGGGGCGTGCTGCTTTGACTGCACTACTTCCCTGGCAAATGAATGGAAATAAATTCAACTTTTGTATAAGGCCTATGTCTGCATTTCACACTTCATAATTGCAATACTAAGCAACAGTCTCTCTCTCTCTCTCACCCAAATTCAAAGACAATGCAGACTTGTGAGTATCTTTATTTTTTATTTTTTTTTTTATTTTTTGGTATGCTAGGCAGAACGCACATTTAAACATTTTATTCATTTTACTAATGATAGGAAATTCTCCCCAGGGGTGTTCAAAAACTAGTTTTCTTAAAAGGGCCTCAAAATTTTCTATCAGACTAAATAAAATATTTTACTATGGTATATAAGAGAATGTAAGACTTTCTGCTGACTATAGAGAAAAACAATGTCTATTGTGTGAGCTTACTAGTCATTGTAAATGTATTATACACCATTAGAGTATTTAAAGCTAACCTACTTTAGAGTTTTAATTTTAATATTTTTTTTACTGACCCTGTTTTAATTTTGAAGAATATCATTGGTAGGTAATGAATTAAAGTTAATGGGGATACGGCATAGATAGAATTACATTCATTTATCTGTTATTTTCACAAGTTGCTCATTTCTTGAAAAACTGGTTGGGATTACTGTGTTATTATTAGCAAAGCATTGTGGTCTCTGCTTATCTATTAGACTAAATCTAGCTGTGAATTAAGACATTTTCCTTAAAATATAGGTGTTGCCTATAACTTAGTGTCATTGCATAAATGTTTAGGATGATGACTAATTTTCATTTCCAAATGTAATTTACTTGAGAAAAGCCCAGGAGGGGTAATGCATATTTAGAGGGAGTCTGTGATGTGTTTTCAGAGACATTTTGGGCAGGCCTGTTCTGTTCTAGAGAATGAGCTAATGCCTAGTTGGATTCCAGGAGGGTAGAGTTTTCATGATTTAATTGCTTCCCAAAGGTCATAACTCTTAATGCTGTTGCATTGAATTCCAGCATGGAATTGGCAGGGAACACTATCATTTGAACAACAGTA